ATCTCTGGTGACATGGTGATAGGTGCTTTTTAAAAGGTAGTTGTATGTTTTGTAAATTAGCTAACAGGATCATGACTTTTAATTTTAAGCATGTAGAAGACACTTCGCTTTCAGAATGCTTCTTGTTCAACTCCGTCCAGTCTTGTGATGTCATTTTTTTCAGATGTTGCTTTTGTGTGTGTTAAAATTGATCAAATAGTCCCTTTTTCTAATACATGATGTAATAGAAGTCCTACTTGTCCTGTGTGGTGATTTCCTCAGGTCCTGGAAGTTGGGGTGGTGGCGCTGTTGCCCCGCTTCCCCAGGGAGGTTTTGCTGTGTGATCAGCCTAGGTCTCCAGAGCTCCATCCAGCTGTTAATTTTTTGGCTTTAGGGGAGTGTTGCAGTTGCAGGTATTAGGGGAAGATCTCCCTATTTCAAGGACTCAGGCAAATAAGCCTCTTTGTTCTTGTCTCCTGTTGAGAGACACATATTGTTCCTGCCTGTCCTTTGTCAGGTGTGCTCCTTCCAGGATCTTGGCTTGTCAATTCTGAATGGCGAATGTGTTCATTCTAACTCCTCCCTCGCCTGTGTGTTGAGTCTCCTAGCCCTGGGAGTGTGATCTCCTACTACCAAGAGCAGCAGCCACCCAGGACAGCAGGGACAGTAGCCTATTGCTGGATCTCCCCAGTGGGGTGCTTTTCTTTTCTGGAGCTTGCTGTACATAGAAGAGCAGCTCTCAGCTGTGGCTGCCTGCTGGAGGCACCTGGGTGTCTGTACATTTCCCACACCCAGGCTGCACCCGTGCCAGCCCATCCCTAATGTGTGCTAAGCCCTGTGTTCAGGCATTTTATGTATGTCATCTCATTTGATGGTTCCTAAGAACCATCCTGCAAGGTAGATGGCAGTTCATCTTTGCAGATATGAAAACTAGCTTGGAAAAATTGAATAATTGGCTCTAGGTCACACAGCTCACAGATGGTAGAATCAGGCCCAAGAGACCCCGGGCCCTGGCCTTTCACATTTTGCTGAGGTGTATATAAAGTAAAGGCTTTTAAATTTTCCATACAAATTTGTTAAAGGTTAGCACTCACTTAGAATAGGTTCTGGGTATCTGTGACATATATTTATTGAGAATACTGTATGTCTCATAATGCCAGGACTGCTGTGTACATTTTGTCTTCTGACAGGACAAACATACCTGATTATTTTTGAAGAACTTTAACTTTCTTAAATCCATTAAATAAACTTAGGGTAAATAATATGTTTAACTCTGGCCTGTGTCATGAGGGATGCTTTTTACTAAAAAAAATTTTTTTTTTTGGTACCGGGAATGGAACTCAGGACCTCGAGCTTGCCAGGCAGGTGCCATGCCACTGAGCTATACCCCCAGCCTGGGATGCTTTTTATATAAAACAAAACAAAACAAAACATTTGCTTGTCCCTCTTCCACTCATTCCTTAGTGTGCATGGAGGCAGGTTGTGTGTGTGTGTGTGTGTGTGTGTGTGTGTGTGTGTGTGTGTGTTGGGGAGGAAGCACAAGGACAGGAAGAGGAGAGAGAAGAGTTAGGGGTTGAGGACCCAGGCCACTAGGGGAGAGGTAGGGACTTGGAGCCATGCGGTCACGCTACCTGGGGAACCCCATGGGGGATGGATTGCCCTTAGCGAGGGTTCCTCTTTACCCTCACCTTGCCCGCTACGCCCAGGTGCTGCAGACAGCAGCATGCAAAGGATGCTCCCACTTCTCATCCTGGCTTCCCTCTGGCCCTGCTCTGTGGGGTGAATGACTTTTAGAGTGGCTAGAGGTGTTTATCTTTGCTGAAAGCCTAGAAGAATCATTCTCTGTTAGAATATCTGGGGTCAAGCTTTTCTAGACTAAAGGGATGTTAATTTTATTTCACCTGAGTGGAAAGCAAACTGCCCCTAAGTCTTCGTCTTTGTCATTCACAGCTCTCCAACTGGGTCTTCTGTCTGTGTGTCCCCCACCTCAGAAAACGGGCAAGATGGCGGCAAACAAGAGCAAGGGCCAGAGCAGCTTGGCCCTGCACAAAGTGATCATGGTTGGCAGTGGAGGGGTTGGCAAGTCGGCCCTGACGCTTCAGTTCATGTATGACGAGGTAAGACGCGCCTGCGCAGACTGCTTGCATGACCACGTCTGCTGTGGCATGTCCCTGCCCCAGCTTCTGAGCTGTCCCGTGTTGCATGGGGTGCATGAGCAAGGTCGTGTGAAGGTGGTTTCTGAAGAGCTTGCTGGGGGCTTCTTACCACAGAAGCTCCGGTTGTTGATCCTAGCTGGTAACTTCGGCTGTGGCGGGATGTGAGGAGTCTTTGCTCACGTGGTTTTCATTGTTGTTCTGTGAGGAGGAGAGCGAGACCTTTGTACAGGAGCCATAGTATTAATCTTGCTGTCCCCCAAAGGTCCTGTGTTGGAGGCTTGCTCCTCACCTCGGGCATGACAAGAGGTGGTGGGGCCTTTAGAAGGTGGGGCCTAGGGAGGAAATTAGGGCCTTGGGCACATGCTGAGGGGGTATGGGAACCTGTCCGTTCCTGTTTCTTCCTTAAGTCTTGGTCTCCATGAAGTGAACAAGTGCTGAGTGTGCTCCTGCTGTGATTGCTGCCTTGCCACAGGCCTGGAAGCTGCAGGGCCTTCTGTCCATAGGCTGAAACCTTGGAAACTATGAGCCAAAACAAATTTCTTCATTTATGTTAGGTGTTTTGGTCACAGAAATAGAAAGTAACTAATGCAACGTGTATTTCTAAAGAACATCTCAGAGAGTTAGCTTTGTGCCTGGTCACTCTGGGGAGAGAAGGAAATGGGGGCTGAGTTGTCGTAAGAATCTACTTGTTCCCCAAGTGATGGCTATCTAGCTCTGCCTGATTCCCCACGCACAGGGCAAAGTTTGCACCATCCTTGACCCAACTGCACACCACTTACTTAATGTGGTTAATAGGACTGGTGCTGAGCCCAGGGTGACAACATGACCTTGATTCCTATGGCAACCAGAGTCCCTGCTGGGCAGCCCCGTGCTGGAACGTGAGGCTGAGGGAGTGCAGAGAGCCTGTGCCTCAGGACTTCTCCTGGGCGTGACATCCGCATGGACAAAGAGGTGCCAGAATTGGGAAGGCCTCTCTCCACAGTTGGGAAGGCCTCTCTCCCTTTCGGTTAGACTCTTCGTCGGCCCCACTTCTTGTCATGTTGGGTGTTGGGGGAGAGGCCTTGGGCATTTTTGGCATCTGAGGAAAGTTGATAGGTTTAGGGGTAATTGGGGAATGGTGGTGTAATACATGGAGGTTTGAAGATGCTTTCCTGTGTGGTTATTACCCACCCCCTGAGCTTACTTGCTGGCGTTACGATGTGAGGTACAGGTCTGGGTGGCTCCTGCTGTGAACGGGTCCTGTGGTCCCTGGTGCTTCAAGTGTGGGGACAGTGAAGGAGAACTAGGAGCGAAACAGATGGAACTGGAAATTGGTCCTGAAAATTCTCCCAGGTCTTACAGTGAAGCTTGTTGGAGGTTTTCTAAATGTGGCAATACAGTTAGTCCCCATGTGTCTGTGAAGGATTGGTTCCAGGACCTTCCACAGGTACCCAAACCCACAGATGCTCCAGTCCCTTTCTAAAGTGGTGTTGTGTTTGCAAATCAGTTATGATTACTTTTCTCATTCTTGATAAATGTTTATTTTTGTATTCCATAGTATATGTGTAATTTTGAATTATCTTTTTAAGGAGGACCCCCCCAAATGAATAATCACTGGGTCAAAACTTGGGTCCCCTCCTGGGCCTTACCCCCTATATCTTATGTGGGAAGCTTTTGAGGCTGATACTACATCCTTTTATCTTAAACTATGGGTCAAGCTAGCAGAATCTGCTGAATTTAACCAAAAGAATTTTGCTTAATAACTTGTAAGTTGCATACTTGAAGTTCCTCGTTTTTCTTTTATAACAGAGGCTGGAGAAAGAGAGTGAGGAAAGGAATTAGAGGGGGGAAATAACAGGAATTTGGATGTGGTGGTTAATGGTGGGGGCGGGGTTATCTCCACAAGGACTGTTTGACAGCGTGCGGAACCATTTTCCTTTGTCGTGACTGGAGCGGGAGGATACTGCTGGCATCTAGACGGTCAAGGCCAAGGGTGCTACTCAACATCCTGCCATGTGCAGGACAGCTTCGTAACAAAGAATTATCCAGTACAAAGCACTAATAATACCGTGGCTGAGAAACTCTTTAGAGGCTGTTACTTTACAGTTTCTGTTACTGCATCAGAATACCTAAGAGTGGGAAATTTATAAAGAAAAGAAGTTTATTTTGGCGCATGGTTCTGGAAATACAAGAACATGGTCCTAGTATCGGCTTGGCTTATGTTGAGGGCCATATGCTGCTGCATCATAACAGAAAGCGGAAGGACAAAGAGGGAGGAGACAAGGGGCCAGGCAGTTTATAGCAACCCACTCTTGTGATAACTTGCCTACTCTTGCAAGAACTACTTTCATCCCTCCATGAGGATACATCTCTCTTAACCTAATTGCTTCTGAGTGTTCAGCACTTCTTACCATTACATTAGCAACTCAGCATGAGTTTTGGTGGGGACAAGCCACAGCCACGCCACAGCAGAGCTGTGGCAACTGAGAAGAAAGATTCCTATAGTGTAGGTGATTAAGAGGCCTCAAAATGCCAAATCCAAGAGCAAGTTTGGAAACAGAGCCCAAATCTCCCTTGACACTAGGATCTGTTCTGCTCAGAGCAGCTGCACAGGAGACTGGGAGGCCTACTCGGCATGCTTTGTTTTTTGTGTGCATCTACACATGTGCAGATGGTGAGAGGGGCGGGGAAGAGTGCAGCGGAAGCATCGAGAGTTTTTCCTCTCCTTCCTAGCTTCTTCACAGGGAAGGGAAAGCTCTGTGTGACCTTTGGCTGTTTTTCTTGTGAGTGAACATATTTGAGGATCAGAAAGCAGCAGTTACTGCAGAAATGGTAAAATAAAACTAGGACAAAGAAAAAATAGAAATGCAGTGATGTGTATGTGGGGGAGTCTTTAATTGATTTCCTAAAACAGGGCTGTTTGGTAGAACCTTCTGCAGTAATGAAAATGTTCTATATACTGTTTAATCTGTGTGGCTGCCATGCACTTGAACTATGGCCAGCGGCTATCAAATTACACAAGGTAGTTCCACAGTCATAGTTTTGGAGCTTGAGGAGATCCTAGCAATGCTTCCCAAAATTAGTTTATCCTAGGATTTCCTAGGAGACCTTTTTTAAAAAGTCCCTTCTGAATAACTTTTCTGGAACTGAAAACTGGGGCTCCCTCTTTACAGTGCTCTCCTGGTGATTCTGAGGTGAGAGCAGATGCGGTAATTCCTGCCTGAGCATTCTAGGGTAGCCAGATTTCACAGAAAAGGAAACTGAGTTCACTGAGGGTATCAGCTGACAAATTTCATGGGCCATTCAAACTCTTCGTTCTTCACCCAGTGCTTTACCCTTAGGTTAAAATTTGTTTAGCTTATATGACAGAATTTTCATAGAGATTAGATTATGGAAGGAGCCACTGTCTTTATTCATTTCTAAATTCTAACTTTGACAGTAATTAGAAGGAACTGCTACTATGGGGGCAATCAGAGATTTTTAACCCTATCCTTAGACTAGCATCCTTGAAAATGTATTCATCATCTTTCTACCACTATAACAGATTCCTAAGATAATCATTTATAAAGAGAATCAGGTTATTTTGGCTTATGGTTTTGGAAGTTTCAGTCTGTGGTCAGTTGGCCCTGGCACTTTGGGGCCCCTGATGAGGCTGAGCCATGGGGGTGGGGTGGGCCTGGCAGAGCAAGACTGCTGACCTCATGGCTGGGACACGAGAGAGAAAGGATGAGTCACAGTCCTTCAGGAGCATGCTGCCAGTGACCTGAAGGCCTCCCTCTGGGGCCCACCTCCAAAGGTTTCACCCTTCCCAGAAGCTCCACAGAGTGGAGACCTTATTTTTAACACTAGGGCCTTTGGGGATGTTCCAAATCCAAACTCTAGCAGAAACGTTTAGCTTCTTACTGTTGCTGGGAGAATGAGGCTGGGGATGAGGAAGGTTCAGACTTGGTCTCCCGAAAGACCATAGACATGGCTCAGGAAGGAGTGTGTGAAGTGTGTCTTATACTTGTGCATCTGAACTGGAATTGCATGTATTTCTGAAAGGCCTGGAGAAGATTAGTGTAATTCATGTTAGTAGAAACAAAGACAGATTCCTGTTTCTACCCTGTAAAATCAGGGTTGCAATAGAAGGTTCTAACAGTACTCTTGGTTTTCTCTTAGTACAGAGGTACGCAGGCTTCTCAGGCCGCTCTGACTCCTATGTCAGTGGGATCTGTGGGCCTCTGGCTGGCTTCTCCTAGCGCTAACCAGTACACAGCCAAGCTGTTCTGTGGTGTGCAGAGATTTTAAGTGAGGGGTGGTTTTTTTGTTAAATTTGTGTCTTTGGAAAGGAGTTAAAAGGACACTGTTGTGAAGCGTATGAAAGTTTTCACATTGTCTATGAACATAATTATTGGTATGAAATTAAGATAAACAAGTATTACAATATTTTAGGATTTTTATTTTTAGATTTAAAATCACTTGAAGTTTTAGCCATTAATTGTTAATACAAAGCTCTTTTTAGGAGTATTATTTGAAGGACCATTTTTCCCTGTTGATATATTTTCTAAGTTATAAGTTAAAAAAATTTTGTTAGAACTTCTAACACGTAATTCACATAGCCTGAAATTCACTTTTAAAAATTGTACAGCTCATGTTTTGTGTATTCATATAGATGTGCAGCATTCACCATTATCTAATTTTCATCACTGCCCCCCCAAAATCCCACCCATCCATATCAGCTGTTATTCCCTGTTTTTGTTTTCTCCCCGCCTCCTGGCCTGAGGCAACCACTCTCTTTTTACACATTGCTTTTTGTGGTCGTTGTGTATAAATGAATCTCTGTATGCTACCTTCATGTCTGGCTTATTTCACTTACCATAATGTTTTGAAAGCCCATCCATACTGCAGTATGTAACAGTATTTCATTCTTTTTTTTAAAAAAATTGAGATATGATTCACATAAATTTTACCCTGTTAAAGTGTACAGTGTAGGGCCGGGGATATAGCTCAGTGACATGAGCGCCTGCCTGGCAAGCACAAGGTCCTGAGTTCGATTCCTGGTACCAAATAAATAAATAAATAAATAAAGTGTACAGTGTAGTAGTTTCCTGTATACTCACTAAGTTGTGCAGCTGTCACCACTGTCTAATTCAGGAACATTTTCATCACTCTAACGAGAAACCCGATAACTATTAGCAGTCACTTCCTGTTATTCCCCATCCCTCGTCTGGGTAGCTACTACTAATCTACTTTCTATCTCCAAGGATTTGTCTGTTCTGGATATTTCATAAAATAGGCTTATACAATATGTAGCCTTTTGTGTTGGGCTGCTTTTACTTACCATAATTTGACAGTGTTCATCCATGTTGAACATGAGTCAGAACCTCATTTCTTTTTATGACAATAATATTCCATTGTCTGGATATACAGTTTTTGTTTAATTGTTCATCAACTGATGGCAATTTGGGTTGTTACTGCTGTTTGGCTATTTTGAGTAAGTTGCTATGAACATTTATGTGCAAGTTTTTGTGTACATGTTTGTCTTAAATATCCCAGGTATATGTCTGGATATCTGTGTATGAGGACTTGCCAAACCATTTTCCATAGCAGATGCACCGTGGATGATACGATGTTGAGCACTTTTTTATGTGCCTATTGGCTATTTGTGTATCTTCTTTGGAGAATCATCTCCCTAGATCCTTTGCTTTTATTTTTGTCCTGGGAATTGAACCCAGGGCCTCATACACACTAAGCCTGTACTCTACCACTGAGTACACCCTTGTTCTCTTTGGATCTTTTAAAATGGGCACTATTTATTGTTGAGTTTTGAGAATTCCTTGTAGATTCTGGAAATGTCTTTTATTAGATGTGACTTACAAATATCATACCTCATTCTCTGTGTTGTCTTCTCATGTTCTTGATAGTGTCCTTTAAAACAGGAAAGGTTTTAATTTCAGTGAAGCCAATTTGTCTGTTCTGTGTTGCTTGTGCTTTTGGTATTATATCTAAAAGATTTATGCCTATGTTTTCTTCTACAAGTTTGTAGTTTTAGTTCTTATACTTAGGTCCTTGATCTGTGTAGAATTAATTTTTGTATGTGGTAGCAAGTAGGGAGTCCAGTTGTACCAGCACCATTTCCTGTTTAAAAGTACATTGTTGCCATTAATTTAGTTTGTTTCTGAATTTCTTGATGTTTAGCATCAATAAGATTACTGATTTTGATACATAACATAAGGAAAATACCTTTGAAATGATATCTTTATAACTAAATAATACAACTATTGAAGGGAACTTTAATATTTCCTTGACTTTTTTGGAATGCATTTTATCAAAATACTATTCTAAAATTTTATGAATGAAATTCTTTTTCTGTGTGTCTTCATTGCTAGTGAGTATTCTGGTAGGCTTATTTGCTTCAGTTTTTCTGTTTAGCATCTTTTACATTTGCTTTTGTCCTTTCAGAGTGCCTTTTTGGCAAGTGCATATACATATCTAAAACTTATTGTCTCCCTATTTTCCTTGTGCAAACAGGGTAAACTATTACATTTTCAAGCTCTTTATATATTTGTATAGTTACCTTCCCCATTTTTTGTAGGTGCATAATACTGTATTCTGTGGGTCCCTCTTACTGGGCGTTGAGGAGGTTTTTAATTTTTTGTGATTATGCTCGATGCTGTGTTGAATTACTTTGTTCCTGTAGCCAAGTTGCTGGAGATGAGATTCCTAGCAGCAGGGACAAAGGATGAGGTACTTCTTTCAAAGGATGAGGTCAGCTTTCAGCTAGTTCCTCGCTCTAGGGCTTGTCCTGTTCTCTGCACACTGTCAGCACACCAGCATCTACCCCAGAGTGTGTCATTAGACTTGAAGGGTTTGCCCACTGGCAGGTGAAAAATGGTATCGCAGTGTGCTTTTAGTTTTTATTGGTGAGGATGAATATCTTTGCATGTGTTTAGCATCACGTGTATTTATTTTTATGTGAATTTTCATGTCCATTGTACATTTTCCCTGTTTGATTGTTGATATCCCCACCCCATTTCTAGGACTCTGTATTAGAGATAGTCTTTTGTAATATGGGTGCAAATATTTTTTTCTGTTTGTTATTTGCCCTTGTTTATAGTGTGCTGTGCCATGCCAACATTTGAGTATTTTTTCTTTTTTTAATGTAGCCTAATTTATCAATTTTTTCTTACATGGCTCCTGGATTTTGAGTCATAGTTAAAAAGGCCTTCTCTACTTCAAGGTAATAAAACGGTTTCACCCATGTTTTCTTGTAGTACTTGATTGGTTTTATTTTCAGTGTTTAATCTTTGACCCATTTGGATTTTTTGTTGTATATATTTGTTAGTGCATACTAATTTCATAAAACATTAGACCACATAGTAGCATTTTCATACATGTATGTAACATACTCTGAGCACATCTATTCCATTTGGAGTTTTATCATGTTGTAGTTTTTTAAGTACCTTACTTTTCAGATGATTTTTTATGTTTCTGTTAATTGTGAATAAGAGCTCCAATTTTACCCTTTTTTGGTGTTGATACTATAATTTTATACTGTACTGACAGTACTACTGCCAGGCATTCTGCTATGTGCTTGTTTTTCTCATTTGTAAAATGGAGATATTTGCTCCTGGTGTTTAAAGACAAAATAAAAAGAGTAGAACAGAGGTATAAAGAAGTGAAGTATTATGTAAATTGCTGTTTTTTCTTTTGTCTTCTATAAAAAAGTAAAAGTTTCGTAGCAAAATAATAAGACGAACAATTAATACACTGTATATCATTATCTTTGAAGTAATTCTCATGTTATTTTTATTTTATAGTGACTTATGCATAGTGTGGTAATTGTATGCACTCAAGGAATACTTAGTTGATTATATGCAAAGTACCTATATATCAAATTTTATTTTTGGACAGATTTTTTTAAAATGTAGATAATTACTGGTAATTTGTTTCCCCAGTTTGTAGAAGACTATGAACCCACCAAAGCTGACAGTTACAGAAAGAAAGTGGTTCTGGATGGAGAAGAGGTCCAGATCGATATTCTGGACACAGCTGGACAAGAGGACTATGCAGCCATTCGAGACAACTACTTCCGGAGTGGGGAAGGATTTCTTCTTGTGTTCTCCATCACAGAACATGAATCTTTCACGGCGACTGGCGAGTTCAGGTGTGTAGACATGCAATAGCCAAGACCCTATCACCTTCCCGCCACATGCAAGGAATCCGGTGCTGAGTGTAGTGGTAGAAGGTCGAGCTTGTTATTTAGGAAGAATTCTCTCTACAGTTTTTAGAGTTTTCTGCAGCTTGGCACAATATAGTGCCTCATCTTTTTGGACTTCTCTGAGGATTTGGGGATGTAAATTATCTTAAGAATTTTATCTCTGAAAGAGGACACAGCTGTTCCCTACACCCCAGAGCCTGTTATTCTGTTCATGTAAATTCTGAGACAGTGATTGACAAGACTTAACTGTCTTTAATTTTTTTCTTTAAATTTTACCAAAAAACAATTTTGATCTACTTTGTTGATGAGATGTTGGCAGAGAATGAGCAGTGTGAAGCGGAAGGACCACTTGCTGCTGCTGGGGGGACTCGGTGCAGTGGGCGGGAGGGGACTGGCTTGGGAGGAGGACAGCCTGGTTTGCATCCCCTTACCAGTACTGTGACCATGGTTGAGGCTTGTCAGCACTGGAAATTCTGTTTCTTTCTCTGAAAATGCACTTGTCAGTTGAGAAGTGAGATGCAGTGATGCATTTGCTTGTGAGCTACATATGGGCAGGAACCAGGAAACCCTTCATTGTCTCCCTATCCCTAGCCCTCCTCTGCATGATGTGGCCCCTAGTGCCTACATAGTGGGTGGGCTATTCACTGAACATTTTAGAATGTGTCAGTTAAAGATGCTTTCAGTTTCCTTTTTATTTTTTAAATAAGTAACCTTTGGGCATAATTTCTATCTTTTATAACTTTCTTTTTACCATGTACCCTTTCCGTTTCTATTATACAATTGTATTTTTTCATCTCCCTTTCTTATAAACATATCTGTGTCAGTCAACTTTCTGTTGCTGTGATAAAATACCTGAGATAAATAACTTAAAAGGAAAAGAGTCCATTTTGGCTCAGAGTTTCAAAGGCATTGGCTTGGTTGCTTTTGGGCCTGTGGTGAGGCAGCACATCATGGTGTGAATGTGTGGCAGAGGAAACCTTTTCACCACTATACATCCAGGAAGCAGAGAGAGAGAGGGAGGTGGGGGTGTGGGAAGAGAAAGAAGAAGGGCTAAAGCTCCGCTGTCCCCTTCAAGGCCACACACTCAGTGACCTCACTTCCTTGTACTGCATCGCATCTCCTAAAGGTTCCACCACTTCCAGTAGTGCTAGAGCTGAGGACCAAGCTTGAAACATATGGACCTTTGGAGGACATTTAAGATACAAACTATAACTATCCACGTCTACCCAGCTGATATTTTAAGATCCAGAAGTAGAGTCTAATAGGGCACTAAGGATAACAACCAAACAAAAAAGCAGTCATTTTTTTTCATTCTCTAGCAAGTTTGATCAGAAAGTAAGGTGATCAACCAAAGGCAAAATGAGGGGGCTAAATATCCCCTCATAGTTTGGAAGGAGACATCTATGAGCAAGGGAGGCCTCCAGGAGTGAATTTAGATAATCCAGTAGAGAGAATGCAAGGTGATAAGGCAGGGCCTCTGTTGTTTCACTTCAAAAAGTTGAATTCCCAGTGGGGATGTTTCTACTTCTGCATTCCAAAAAGGTGTGCCCTGGAGTTTTTATCTGCATTGAAACTTATAATATAGGGTAGCATTTCACAATAATAAAAATATTTAAAAGTGTTGCCATATAGTTAAGTACAGATATAAAATATTGTAAAATAAATGAACAGGAGGAAAAGTAGATCCTGAAGAGACCTATAAGCAGCTCTGTTATACTCTACATTTGAATGGGGTTCACAGAGAACTTAATGTGTGTGTGCTGCAGTTAGAATAGTAGAACTCATGAGAAGTCTTAGCAATTTTTAGACTTTTTAAAACAAAGGACTGTCCCCATTGGAGCAAAATAATGGAAGTGGAATATTTTAATTTCTTATTATTTGATTTTGCTTAATACTTTAGATAGCTGATTATTTTTATTGGAGATAAAGTTTAGTGTGCTGTACATAATGGTTTTTTTAAGATAAGACATTTTTGAAGTACTATTCCACAGGCATTGCAGTATTTCTTTGACATGTTTCACCTTAAAGTAGAAAAACAGTGTACACTGGAATGGGTACTGCCTGACATAGTTGTCCCCATTCTGTTGACTGGAACGTTTGCCATTCTGAGTGTGCTCTGAATGCTCAGCACTGTGTCTTACTGTGTGGGGGTGGATACAGTTGCCCTCTGGGTCTGCAGGTCCACATCCTCAGATCGCAACTATAGTTGGGCCTGTGATGGTTGTATTGGAATTGAACAGTACAAACTTCTTTTCCTTTCAGTTATTCCCTAAAAAATCTAGTGTAATGACCATTTACAAGGTGTTTACCTGGTATCAGTTGTGAAAGGACTCTAGAGATGACTTCATGTTTACAGAAGGATGCGTCAGTCATGTGCTGATATGACACCATTTGATAGAAGACACTTGAACATCTGTGATTTTGGTGTCCTCAGGAGACCTAAAACCAGTGACTCTTAGAGCCCGAGGGACAACTATACTTACAGATCTAAACCAAACAGAGACCTTCCACACACCCATACTTACTACGTGAGATTTCTTTGGATATTCTTGTTTTACTCTATTTTATAATCTATTTCACTGAATAAAAAATAAGTAAAAAAGCCCTACCTAACCTGATTTCAAGATCTACTGTTATGCTGTTACTTTTCACTTGGAAAACTAGATTATGGAGCTTTTACAGTCACAGATTTTTTTTTCTTCAGGGGAGTTTTTAAGCATTTGTGAGGAACTTCTAACTTTTTTTTTTAAATCCCAGATACTCGCAGGTCCCCCCCTTTAAGTGTGTTACCATAAACTGGGGACCCTGTTGGAATGCAGATGCCTGGATTCCTGTCCACAGGACTGTGGCCCACAGTCTGCACTTACAGAGTGTGCCCTGGGAGATGGGCACCAGATGCTCACTTGGGACTTGGGACGCCTTGGCCAGCTCCTGGCTTCGAGGAGCATGCTCTGAAGGGGTAGTCCCTTCTGCCTTAGGAAATTTATTTGAGATGTGTTGGTGAAACCAAGTTCTTATCTTGGCTTTCTCTGTGGCCATATTTTCGGTGTGACACTGCAGGGAACAGATCCTCCGAGTGAAGGCTGAAGAAGATAAAATTCCATTACTCGTGGTGGGAAACAAGTCTGACTTGGAGGAGCGGAGGCAGGTGCCGGTCGAGGAAGCCAGGAGCAAAGCAGAAGAGTGGGGCGTGCAGTACGTGGAGACGTCGGCCAAGACACGGGCCAATGTGGACAAGGTAGCTATACTCTTGGGGTGTGTCTTGGACAGATTTTGGGTGGAGCAGAGCAGAGCTTTTTTACTAGTTTGGTTTTGAAGGTACCATGTGTGGGATGTAGGCAAGGACTGTGATTCCTTCTGCTCTCTTGGGCATTACAGTGAACGGCCCGGGGAGAGTCTGACACTGTGTCTAAAGCATTTGGTGGGTTCCTTCCCTTTGCCATTAGGCTTGGTGAGTGGATGCTCACTTTCGGCAGTGCTTGGGAAGTGTGGCAGGACGAGGCCATTGGTTTGTGAAGCCAGTCGGAAGGGGACTGAGCTTGTCAGTGCGCTCTTCTCCACAGCTTGGCACTGGTTGGGGCAGGGCTGGTTGTGTCAGGCGGCTGCTTACATCGCCTTGAAAGCAACAGGCCACTTCTTGTTTTTGCTTCTGTTGAATTATCTGATGCAAACGGTTAAAGATGTATTCTTTTCACCTTACTAATTATTGCCAGAGCTGGATGTTCTGTCTTTATCGTTTCACCTCGGATTAGAACATGCTTTCAGGAATTGACCCTGGAATCTCCTCTCTCTCTCATCCCATCCTGAGACTACTTCTTCAGATTTCTGAAGCCAACAAAAGTGATCATGACCACGATGAATGTTGACAGCTTGAAAATCTGCCTTCCAGGGGTGGCTGTTGTTAGGCTTTTTTTTCTCTCTTTCTTTTACATTAAAGTTCAAGGTGGTTTCCACAAAGCTAAAATAAGCGATTTAAAGTTGAGGCTTCTCTCCTCCTTCACCGTGTGTACTGGCTCTTACCTCTCATCACCCACACTCCTGTAAGGTCCGAGCACAGAGCATGTGGTGCCAAGCAGGGGCTGAGTCTGCTCCGTGCTGTGTGGTGGCGGCAGCATCCCAGTCCCCCAGATCCCTTTTTCTGTGTCTGTTTTGGAAAGAGGTAATTCCCCTTCGCTTTGTACCTGATGAGGAGACATTTTTAATCAGGCTTTGCTGTAGCCGGAAGTGACGCTAGAGGGGCGGTGGGGTTCGGAAGTTGGCTGGGTGCGCCTCACTCAGAAGTGAGCAGCGGCACACCTATGTTTTCGGCCGCAGGGTCAAGTGTGCTCCCTTGTCAGCTGCCTTTTCTCGGTGCTGTCTTAACTCTTGTGTGGATTCTTGTGCTATTCAGAATCTCTCCCTTTCAGATTATTTCCTAGCTGTGGGAAACACCCAGGAAATCCAGATACATGTTTCATTTTTTAAAAAGCAGAGAGACTTTCTCAGCATGGGACTGCTGCTGTGTATTTGTGATGGCCAGCCTGGCAGGGGGAGGGGGCTGTCACACAGCTGTCACCTCCTCCGCTGGACCAGCTTGACCTGCCCAACAGGAACCAGCAGAAACTTATGACTGGCAGCATTGTATTCACTGGTAAACAGTTTACAAAAAGAAGGCTGCTGATAAGATCAGCTGATGAACAACTTTGTCATTTTACGTTGGATGCACTCCATTTCTCTCTTCCTGCTCACATTTTTAGGGTGGAAAGAAAAACTTGTAGCATTTAGAGCTGCTCACGGTTGTTCTCATGGCCATGTCCTTTCCTGAACGGTTGGCAGAAAGGGGTCCTTAGGTCACCCTGAGCCAGCTTGAGGGTCCCTTTTCTGTATCTGGGGCTCGTGGTTAATGCAGGCGGAGTCCCACACTCCAGAAAAATGATCTTGCCTTTCACCAAGAAGAAAGTCTGAAAATAAAAGATAGGAGCTGGCAGTATCATGTGGCTGTCCAGAGATAAATGCCTGTGCTCCCTGCCACGCTTTCTGTCTCCCTCGTTCTCTGTGCGAAATCTCAGCCTCCTTTTGTCGGAGGCATATTTTGTCTGCTTGGCGTAATCAGGCCTCTAGCGTAGTTGCTCGTAGTCGAGGGCAAAACCCAAACTATTGTGACAAATGATAATCTTTATTTAAATAACACTCTGACATTTAGAGGCCATGTCTCATCAGTTCTTGATAAAGCGCTCCGGTCAGCTAACACGGTGAGGACCGAAAGTCAGGCTCTGGGTGTATGTGAGGGGTTACCGTGATAAGGCGTCTTGCTTCATCCCTGGTCCCATAGTACAGGAGCTGTCCACCTGTTCCTCCTCACACTGCCTCCCCAGTCTGCCGGTGTGGAGTCTCCCTGGAACATGTCACATGGGATGCTATTTCAGCCTGTGCAGGGCCCCTCCCCACAAGGATTACATGAGATGTAGTTATGCTAGGATCAGTCCTTTTCTTTTCTGGTGGTTGGAGATACTAGAAAGTCTGAGTCCCACTGCCCCTCTCAGTATTTGTAAATTTCGTAGTTTTGGATTTGTTCTTGGCAAAAACATTTTTTACTCTTCATTATACTTAAAAGATCTTATCATTTTGAGAACAGCTGTTCTTGTCCTTATTATGTATTCAATATCTTGACTTTGTTCTTAGCCACCATTGTACAGTGTGAGCAGAGGAGTTTAGTTTGTAGAATTCGAATGTTTTTGGGGCTGGGGATGCAGCTCAGGGGTAGAGCACTTGCCTAGCATGGATGAGGCTATGGGTTCTATCTCCAGCGCCACTCAAACATGCTTTTGAGATCATTCATACTTGCTCTAGACCCTTTGTTGTGAATGGTTTATAATGGTTTATAAAAATAAGTTTGGTGTTCTCTGTGTAAAAATGCACCTGTATATCCTGCCCAGTTGTTTCACTAAATCACTAAGTGGGTTTTTCCTGTTCTTTCTAACCTTCCTCCCTGCTCCCAGGTGTTCTTTGATTTAATGAGAGAAATCAGAGCAAAGAAGATGTCAGAAAACAAAGACAAGAATGGCAAGAAAAGCAGCAAGAATAAGAAAAGCTTTAAAGAACGATGCTGCTTGCTGTGAAGACCAAGCTGGTGGCTGGAGCCCGTGCTCCGAGGACGTGGGGCTGGGCCAGGGAGCTGAAGGCTGCGGTCGACTTCTCGTTGTACTTCCTGCTCTCCCCGACCTGTTCATCTGCACTTCTGTAAATGGGAAAATACTTGTGAATCAGTGGCTGGCAGAAGAAACAAGCCCTTGTCCATGCAGTGGACCAGCTGCTTTGTCAGGAGCTTCAGAGTTTCTGCTCTTCCTCCCTCTTTCTTTCCTTCCCTCCAGACAGCTTAGGTAGATAGGAGGTTGTAGGTTGGAGACGGTCAAGTGTAGATTTTTAAAAAAATATTGTAATAATATCTTACTTTTCCCTACTTTTATAACTTTGCCATCTTTTTTTTTTTTTTTTTTAATAAAATTGTCTTTTTAGGAGATTTTGGAAGAGGAGGCTGTAGTGACTCTCTAACCCTTATCAATTTAACAGAAAAATATAGCAAGCTCTAGTGACACTTGGCAAGTCCCAGAACTTTTTAGATAAGTTTCTTGGCAGTACCCTCTGGATCTGAAGCATAGCTAGAAAGATGAACTTGAATTAGGCCAAACAGGTCAACACCAGGATCTTAAATCTTCCTCATATGTGAAACATGAAAGTTGTAAGTTGTTTTTTTCATGTTTAGATACTGGCCAGCTACAGTCTACATTGGCTCTTTTTGTCCTCAGCACCCTGATTGTTGTGTAGGGAACTATTTTGGAGTGGTAGATTGAAGAGGCGTGTACTGTACAAACGACACGCTGTTGTAATCAGTCCCTTCTCAAGCCCTGTGGTGAGGACTCTCCTACCTGCCAGCCGCCTGGCGCGGCCCCGCCTTCTCACCCATAGCCTCAGCCCTGCCCTCATCTGTTTTGTTCAATGTCAGATGAATCTTCTGAAAAATGTGATGACTTAAAATCATATCCTAAAATCATGAAGCCAGAGCCCGTACCCAACCTGCTACCTCTCATAGAATTGCTCAGTGATTCTAAATTTACAATGAGAAGAAGTAGGGGAGATAAGCCATTGCCCCATTACCTCTGAGAATTGGCTACTGTTTGTAATCTGACTCTTTTCTGAGATACTCATGTAGTTAGAAAAAGATTTGTATGAGGAGAGATCATTCATCCTTCTTACTGTATCAGTATTCTAAACTCAGCAATCAGAAGCATTCCCATCGGGAAAGGGTCACTGTGACCAAAGCCTGGCCTTCAGCACGTTTCCCCCCACTGTTCAGAAGTGAATGTTTAGTGTTTAGGTGCCAAAAGTGAATTGGGGTGGGGAGAGCGGGAGCCTGTGGAATTTAGGGTTATTACAGAGATTGTGGAAATGATGTTCTAACTCCTGGAAACCAATCTGGCATCACCTCCCAGAGAAACATCTTTTTCAATAAAAAAAAAAGCAAACACAGTTTTTTCAGAATCTCAGCCTTTTTCTTTTATCCCCTTGTCATATGCATAAAATATAAGTGATTAAAAAAAACTGACAGTAAGTCATTCATTATTGTACTTATCAGATAGTCTGCAAAATCAGACAAGCCATGTTTCAATTAATCCTTTGAATTAGGAAATGAAGTTACAAATATAAGCTGGGTGTGGTGGCACACACCTTTAATCCGAGCTACAGGGGTGACTGAATAGGATTGCCAGTTCAAGGCCAGCCTGGGCAACCTAGCCAGTTTCAAAATAAAAGATCTGGGAATATAGCTCAGTGCTAGAGTAGTTGCCTAATATGCATAAGGCCTTGGGCTCAACCCCCAGTAACTCTCTATTATAAATTGTAATTTTAATTTAGGAGAGATTACTGTTCTTACTAAAATTATAAAAGTTGGGCCAGGCATGGTGGTACACGCCTGTAATTCTAGCACTTGGGAAGCTGAGGCAGGAGGATTGCTGGGAGTTCAAGGCCATCCTGAGTTACATAGTGAGTTCAGGACCAGCCTGAGCTACATAGCAAGGTCCTGTTTCACAAAACCAAGAAAAAAATTAAGTTGAAGGTCTCACACTTTTGAATTTGTGAGATAGCATTTTTGTTTTCATTCTAATTTGCCACCCGTTTGATGTCAGTGCTGGTCAGGCATGGGTAGGTTCAGACTAGGTACAAATGAATCAAAGGTGGCATGAATTAAAAAGAGATGCTCTGGATTATTTCATGCTACAGATGTTATAGTTGGTGTATGTTAGTATATTCCTAAAATCATACGTAACTGGATAGCAAGAGATGGCTCTGACAAAATTATTATATACGTGTGAGTCTTTGCCATGGAAAAATAAAGAAGTAATGCTGTTTATAAATTTGAAATGGACTTGCTGGCGATTAGATATTATGTTGTAGCTTAGAATTACTATTTTAGAAATGTGGGCATACCGGGTACAGGCTCCATCCTTGGTCCAGAGATGTGGTTGTAAAGAAGATGAGAAAGGCCTCCATTCGGGAGCCTATGCTTCAGTAAGGAAAGAGAACCAAATGAAAATCTTACCATAAGGGCTTTGAAAATGAAACTGCCTAATGTGATAGGAACTGTTTCTAGCAAGTACAGCTGACCTAGACTGGATGGTCCGCAGGCTTTGCCAAGCGAGTGACCAAGTGGCTGGAGGAACAGGGAGTGGGAGCTATCCCAAGGGTCCTGAGGTGTTCGGAAAACACTAAGACCAGTGTGTGGCTGGATTGTCATGAGGAAAGTGTAGAGTATTAGAAGAAGATGTAACTGTATGATTTCACAAAGTAGCATGGGGTGAAACACCCTATAGACAGAATTTCCTACACATATCCAAGTTCATCAACTCTAAGGAGACCATTGGTTACAGTTATGTACCACTACCACCCTGCCCATTGTATGAATCCAGCCTGACTTCACAGACATAAAAATTCTGTGTATATGTGTAATGTATGGATTAGATAAGATGAATTACAGTATCTAAATTTAAATGAAATGACTAATTAAACTATAAAATTCACCTCTTATTTTGGAAATTGTATTCTAGTAAAGCATTACGGGAGGTTAACAGTGTGTGAATATTCAGCAGAAAGTACTAATTTTTTTTTTTTTGTATCAGGAATTGAACTCAGGACCTTGTGCTTGCCAGGCAGGTGCTTGAGCCACTGAGCTATATCCCCAGCCCCCTAATAAGTTAATATTAGTAAACTTGGCCACTATTTTCATTTTTAAATGTAATCAAAATTATAATTGCATGTGCTCAAGAATTCTGATGGTCTAGAAGTGCTTGTAGGGCTCAGAACCTTGCCTAGCATGCCTGACTCCTTGGCTCCAAATCTCAGCACGACAAGAACAGAAGTGCTTGTAACAGAGGAATTCAGTCTTGCTCCTCCCTATTTTGTCCCTGTTCTGAGAAGGTCACATCGAACCATTTCCACCCTCAGATCATTCTTTGGGAACTCCTGCATTTGTGAATCATGTTCTCAGCTGTTGTTTTTTGATTTGCACATCAGACATTTTCCAGTGGCAACTTGACATACTAGATGAGGGTTTTGCTCCCTCATCCCTACACCCTGCATCTGTGTGGTTGACAGTCACATCACCGCTTTAACTCCTTTCGTGGTGACTGCTGTACCTTTTGAAACTATATTTAAACTTGTGTTTATCATTTGATTAACTTGCACATTACATCCTGGTTCTCTACTACTGACTTCATCCCTTGTCTTCTTCCAGCTCTTGCTAGCTCTTGTCTTCCCTGTTAACTTTTGCTTTCATGATGCCAAGGGGAATAACACATGTATTCCATCTGGGGACAACAATTCAGACCTTCGAGTTTTCTCTATAAGTTCATTCTAAAAGTTGGATCCCAATCCACAATGATTTGATATTCTGAATCTTGTAAATAGGACTCGTTGCTGAGCCAAACGCCGAATGGCAATTGAATTCAAAGCCTGGTGTTCCTAGTGTCCAGCCAAGGGCACTGTTCCATTGATTGCCAGGATCATGCCACATTTTGACTTGCTTCATCTCTGTGCCTTGCCCTCCCCCCGATGTTGCCTGAAGCCTGGCTGCTTTTTTCTTGTTGAGAAAATATGTATTTTTCCCCTCGGTGCTAATTTCTTTTGCTTTCTTTCCATTGCTTGGATTCTGCCTCTGTTCTGAAGATGCTCCTGCTGAGAGCTCAGTGATTGCCTGATCTAATTTGCACTGATTCCTTTCTAGGTACTGAGACTTTCTTTCATTGGGCGCACGTTAAGTCCGTACTTTCCTGGGTTGCCTATCTTCCTTCATTAGAGTTTACCCTCACTCTGCAAAGGTGCATTTTCAAGGAGGGCAGAATGTCTGAGAGTGCCATCACTTTTGGTCAATATTTGATGGCCAGCTTGTCTTGGAATAGAATTCTGGTTTCAAAATCATTTTCCCTCAGAAATTGGAAATCTCTGCTCTAGTGTCCAAGCATCCATTGTAATGGACAAAACTGGCATCCAGTGGTCACCTCTTTGATTGGGGCACTCCATTTCTCCTGTGTTAGCTTTTCTTCACGGACAAAACATTTCAGATAACATATACGGTAGAAAGTTTCACAGTTTTGGAGGTCTCAGTCCATAAAAGGTTGGCTGTTGACTTTCCGGTGTATGGTGAGGAGCTGGTGCAGAACTGTTCCTCTCATGGCAGCCAAAGAGAAAAGGGAGGGGACCACCAATAATCCCTTCGAAGGCACACAGTGACCTAACTTCTTCCCACTAGGCCCCACCTCCCACAGACTCCACCACTTCCCACCGGGGCCAGGTTGGGAACCAAGCCTTCAGCCCGTGCCTTTGCAGGTCACTTGTCAAATCCTCCGTATCATCAGGGTTGATGAACACAGTGGGGAAGCAGTGAGGGCTTTTGGTGACCTGTCCTGAATCTTCCAGTGATGTCTGCTGTCTTTTCAGCTCTAGAAATGTTTTTGAAATTTAATTAGTTCTATTTTCTATTCTTCCTTTTCAGAATTGTTACCTGATTTTGGACCTCTTAGAACCATATCTGCTTGATCCTTTTCTTCCAAATCCATCCTCCCTTGTACCCTCTTTCTCTCCCTCCTTCTCTCCTTTTTTTTTTTTTTTTTTTTTTTTTGTTATTGTTGTTGCTTGTGATTTGCCAAGCATTAGTATAGCTTCCCAAGCAAGATACAGCCCTGGGCAAAACAGACAATACTGTTTGCCTTCCTGGAGTTTACGCAGGCTCAACTTTCTCTTCTAACTCATTACTCTGTGTGTGGTGTGAACAAGAGCTTCATTTATAATTGTTCTTTTTCCCGTAGCATCTGTTCTTGTCCTTATTATGTATTCAATATCTTGACTTCTAGGGATGTCAGAGTTTTTAAAGCTGTGTTTGAGAATCACCTTTCTTTAGTTTTGATTGTTTTTCTCTTTATTTTTTAAGCTTCAAGTTTTCCTCAAACGTCTAATGATTCCTGGTTGTAGAGCTGTACTCTTAGTGGGGTAGAAAGTTGGCCTGGAGCTCCTTGTACCTGAGTGGGGCTTGTGAGACAATAGGCTAGACTTTGGGGTGAGAGGGTGAAGACTCAGTCCTGGTGCTGGGGACCCCTCCCGACTAATTGGACCCTGGGGGCCAACTGCCAGCTCCTCCACAGACACTTTATATGCAGAGAAGAGCCCTGGTGGCAGAGGAGAGCCATGGTGAAGGAAATCCATGTACTTAGCATGTAGAAGGCCTTGAGTTTGATCCCCAGCACCAATCAATGAATAAAAAATAAATTAATAAAACGCATACTATAAATACAGACTTCCCAGCTTTTCATGAACTGTGACACAGGTCCTACCCAATTTGAGGACTTTTTGGAAAGAACATAGTACAAGTTTTAAAACTGGTTTAAGTCCTTGGAATTATGGCTGATCTTCTCTACTTGAGTAGATGGAAAGGTAAAAAGATACTTCCTCTAACCTCTCCCGCCCAGTCTGTGTCTAATTTAAATGTTAGAGCACGTTCTGACGTGCCACAGCTAGCTATTAATTTCTACTGCCACCAAGCTAGATATTTCTAGTTTTACCCACAATGCTGTTGAAGTATTGCCAGTAATTCACTGCCACACATGTCATTAGTCAGAGCAGGTCCTGTCTGAGAAGCCCAGGGTGGAAGGGATGATCCAGTCTCTTACCCAGGCTGATGAAGGTCACTCAGCCCTGTGAGTGGAAATGAAGCCCCCAGTCACCGAGGGAGGATGGTTCTGCCATGTGTCCCCTGAGGTTTGATGTGGCATTGAGAAAGAACCAGGAATCTAAATGATCTTCAGTTTTCTTAAAACTTCTATCAACTTTATATGTTAAAGCAAGCTTAATTATTTCTAGTAGTTATTACATCTCAAGGGGGTAAACAGGCTGGCTTCTGAAGTCACCAAATAGTTGTATGTTTGCAATGGTGAACAGCTGAAAATGCTTTCCTAAAATCTGCTATACTCAGTAAAAACAAGTGG